GAAGAGTAAAATACTTTTTGGGTCCTTAACAAAAGTCACGGGGCCCATTTTAATCAGTTAGAAAAAGAAAGTCGACTTGTGATCCCTCTGAAATTCAAAATAGTTACACTGAGTCAAAATTGTGATCCCTCTGAAATTCAAATAAGACTCATGTTGGTCCCTAAAAAAGAATAACAGATCTATTTTGAATTTCAGAAGGACCACGAGTCGACTTTTTTTTAAGTGATTAAATTAGACACTGTGATATTTGCTGAGGATTCAAAAGATACTTTACTCTAGCTTGAAATAACATTTAAAAAAAATGAGATATGCGTGAAATAACTTGAAATAGCAAAACTTGATATATGTGAATAGTTTTCTTTTCTCTTCTTATTTATATTCTTTTATTTTTTTGATTTTTTTTTCAGGGGCAGTGCAACCCTCGCCATTAAGTATGCAGATATAAATAATTTTTTTTAGATCCACCACTTACTATATGTGGTTCTACTTAACTCCTTCTAATTTGATCATTTTCGATTCTCAATAATATAAAAGTAGAATACACTTCTTCTTGAGCAGCAATACAATATTCAAGAACACGCTAATTTTATTTTGTTTTTTATGATGAAAAGGAGCTTTTTGAGAATAATCAATTACTTGAATATTAAATGGCAGCCTATTGTGATAGTTTGTCCAATAAACTATAAAATTTTCCAACAACGGTGTTACGATAATTGTTAGAGAATTATAAAATCATTAATGTAGTCTGACATAATAGCTTAAGTTTTTGATGAATTCATTCTTAATATGATATCAGAGTCTCCGTGTCACATGTTTGATCCTCATCACCCCATTTAATTAATAATTAATTAAGTACTGTGAATTTTTTTAAGCATATATAAGTGAGACTGTACATTGTTCACCTTTCAAATCTAGTGGTCTTTCGTGTGAGAAGACGTGTTGAAAAATTATAAAACCATTAATGTAACCTCACCTAACTGCTTAAGTTTTGGGGTTGAATTGATTCTTTACAATAATTATCTTACATTCATAATTGTAAAGTCAAAATAATATGTCCACTAAATTTTTTCTCACGGACTGAAATACTTCATTTTAGAGATTCAATCAACCGGTTTATCCTCAAGGCCATCTCTCGGGCTAGAGCCTTCAATGAAATCTTTCCATCACTCACAACAATTTCCTAGGTAGAGCTTCTACGATAGAGGCTTGATTATGAAACACCGTCATTGTACAAGCATGAGCAATAACAGTGTGATCAACGACTTCATTGATGAACCAAACCATATCATAAACTTCATTATGCGTGAAGAATACGACATACATTTAGGCGCTGTTAAGGAAACAGTCAAGACAATAATCCAGTCCCGCAGGTAATGAAATTCAACATCTGTGTGCAGACGGATCCCAAATTTGAAATATTACAAACATTCATTTATTTCGTAATACCTGAATTCATTTATTCTGCCAACCTTACGGATTGATTATGCACGAATATATTCACATAACAAAACTTCATGATATCGTTCCCTAGTAAAAAGTCATTTGAGATGATTTATAGATTCCAAAGAAATAATTCTAGCACCGATAGGTATAAAGATTTTATTTATAACATCTGCTAGAAATATAAACAAAAAAATTATTCACGTGCCTGTGCCTTCGTCTAATAGCTAGTTTAAAATTTTAGGAAAATTTGATCATGATGTAAAGTAAGAAAGGTGTGTCTGATTTTTTTAATAAAAAAATATTAATGTAATTAGCGCTAAGCTCATGAAGGATCATGTAATTATTCATAAATAATTAATTATAGCAGCATTTCACTTAAAAATCTGAGAGATTAGAATTGCATAAACAAAACAAACCGGTTATATAACATTATAACTCTTTCAAATTTAAGATTTTAATATAAATTTTTCTGGTGATCCCAAATTTACAAAATCATATATATATATCTCTCTTATATGTGAATTCAAATTCTTTTTTGAACAATTGAAAAGGTTAAGTTTCAATTGTTCAAATTTGTTTCCATTTAGATTCGAATTTAGGTTCTCTCCGTTTGTTTTGCTGCAAATTCCAATTTGAGTATCAAATTCTATTAATTCCTCTCTTTTTATAATAGGTATTTGTACACGGAGTTGAGTAAAATTTCATGTAATTCAGTAAAAAGAACAGAAATTCTATTTTTGCTAAATCCATTCATGTGATTGGATGAAGAATAATAACAAATTCACGAATGATTTAATAAGACGCTACAAATGGTTTACGAAAGAAAAAAGAAAAAAAAGACGCTACAAATGAAAACTTAGGCCTCGTAGTAATTCTATCTAGCCTTCATTCACACGGCTTTTTATTTTCGGTACAATTGAGGCCAGGCCCAGGATAAGGGGACGTTTGGTACAGGAGAAATTTTTATTTGTCCGGGAATCTCAATTTTCAAAAATATGATTTTTACATTCAGTTTACGATAATATTCGAAAATTTAAAATTTAGAAAAATTCAGTTTCCCGGGAATCCGGCCAAATGCCGCGTACCAAACACCCCATGTATATTTTGAATCTTTGATGATTGATGATTTTTCTTTTAATATTTTCATATAGGATATATATATATATATATATATATATATATATAATATTTTCATATAGGATATTTATATATATATATATATATATATATTTAATATATAAAACCGGGTCAGCGTAGTGACCTCGTGACCCCCGGTTGAACTCGTGACCCCATGACCCCTAACATCGGCCGGGTCAATGGCCGAGCCGTGTTTTTAAACACTGGTATAAGTACACCTTCTTCTTTTTTATAGTAAACTATATAAATACATTTTATTTTTTTTTTGAAAAAGTTCAAAAACTTCTCTTTTTGAATCCCTTACACCGTTATGTTTTTTTTATAATCACTTAATCCTCTGTTATTTTTTTCTTTCACATCCCTCCTTAAAATTGCTAGAAAATTAAGTATACTTATTATATCTTTCTTAGAAGAAGAAAATAACATTGTTATGAAAACTTAGAACAATTGATAAAAGACTAAAAGAAAAAAAAATCAAATGTGACAAAATAAAAAAGGAAATAAATGTAAAAAAAATAGAATAAGAACAAAAAAATTGAAGAAAAAATAAGATCAAATATATTAAAAATCACAATAATAACAAAAAAGACTAAAATTAAAAAATAAATAAAAATAAATAAATGAAAAATATATATACTAAAGATAAAATAACTAAAAGAAAAAATTCAGATAAAAAATAAAACAAAAAAAAAGAATAAAAAGAAATCACTTATAAGTTTTCAATATATTTAGTTTTATTTTTTATTTTATTTTTTCTTTTGTATCCTTGGTCTATTTTATTCTTTTTTATTTAGATATGTTTGATCTTTTTTCTATTTATTTTTATTACATTTTGGTCTATTTTATTGTGATTTTCTCAAAAAAATTTAGCCTTATGCCACCTCCATCTACTAAAAAAGTGAGAGAGAATAAAATAGAGATATAAAAGAAGGGGAAAATATTTATCCTTTTAAATGACATAGAGTTGTGTCATTTTAAGTGAGAGAAAAACACAATCTAGTGTTTTTTGTATTTAAAATTTAAATTAAAAAAACCACTCACTTTCTTTGTCATGATTTTCATTATCCGTGTCTTTCTCTCACTTAAATTAACATAACTCTATGTCCTTTAAGAAGACAAATATTAAACTCATAAAAAAAATCAAATATATGTAAATAAAAAGAATAAATAGACCAAAGACAAAAAAAAAAATAGAAAAAAATAAGAGCAAATATATTAGAAATTCATAACTGTGATTTTTTTTGTTCTTTTTTTTTATCTTAATTGATTCTTCTATTTTTTTGTCTTCAATAATTTTTGTTTTCATTTAGACCATTTTTTTTAAATTTGAGCCTTTTTTTTGTTACTGTTGTGATTTTTTATATGTTCGGTCTAATTTTTCTTTTATTTTTGTGTTCTTATTGTATTTTTTATACATTTTTTTATTTAAACACATAATACATTTAATTTATTTTTTTGATATTTTTTATTTTAATTTTTTATTAAGCGATATAAGTTTTCATGATATTTAGTTTTATTTTTTCCTTTATTATTTTATTTTTTATTCTAAGAAAGGCAGAATGTATATAACTTAATTAATTTTCTAATCATGTTAAGGAAGAGCATAAATAAAAAAAATTACAGGCAGTTAAGTGATTAAAAAAAAATAAAAATATATAAGTGATTTGAATTAATAACAGGTGAGGTTTTTTGATTTTTTTTTTTTTTTTTTGAATCAAAGGTCTAAACAGCCCAAGACAACAAAGAAAAACTGACACTAACATACGGATCCTACTGAGAGACTAGAGATCTGCCAGAAATAAACTACATAGATCCGAATTGAAGTAGCTCTCTAGTAAGATCTTCCTATATCCTTTCTCCCATACATATTCCAGCTCCTTCAAAACATCTCATAGCTCTGCTGTAAAAGCTGATTTGATGCTCACTTTATACGCAAATCCGCCAAGCCATTGTCCATCTGACCCTCTACAAAGCCCTCCACACGCTGCAGCACCTGCTGTTCACTTTGCCGCTCTAATCAGTGTTTAATTTAACCCATTCCACGTCAGGAGGATGCCATTTAATATGGAGTGGTGTTGCCAAAAGCCAAAGCCTTTAACTCATTTTACCATCACCTATATCCTTAATTTCTGCAGCCAAATTTCTCGCAACATACCCCGCTCGACTAACAGCGTCCCTCATTCCCTTTATGAACAGTGTCAAAACCTGATCCACTCCTTCCAATCAAGGTTAAAGAAGCTGTGGGTGCTACTCACTTGTCCTTCTTAGTCAGATACACCAAAGCTTTTAAATTACATTATTGCTATACTTTTGGTGATATAATATTTAATTACATGTGCTAAGGTGACACCTAAAATGCTTATTTTTTTTTTTTTTTAAAATTGACACCTAAAATTGAATCACAGGCTTGCATAACTTGTGTTAAGAATTATATCCGTAGGCTAAGAAGCAGACGACTGTCCCATTGCACATTCGTTAATGACAAAGCAGTAGCTGTGATATGGTTCGAACCGAGCCCTGCTACTTCAATTTGATCTGTCTGAGATCCATGGTTGATGTATCTGTCAGGCAGTGTCATGGCTCGCCACTGCACCAAACGAAGAAACTATTGGTTACTACCCTATGCACAATCCATCTACATATAAAGAAGGAACAAAAAGTAATTGAAGAAACGTAACAGAAATTAGTCTTACCTTTAGATTACCATCAAGTAGTCCATTCAAGGCTAGAAAATGAGAAACATGAGAACCAAATCCTCCAATAGATCCCTCTTCAACTGTGATAAGAATTTCATGCTCTCTAGCCAGTTGCCTCATCAAATCTCCATCTAGAGGCTTACAGAACCGTGCATCAGCCACGGTTGTTGAGATACCATGAGCTTCAAGAACCTCAGCAGCTGCCATACAGCTTTGGACCATTGTTCCATAACCAACAAGAGCGACCCTGCTTCCCTCCTTTAAAACCCTTCCTTTACCGACCTATATTTCAAATGTCAATTAGAAACATGTATATATGTAGCTCCGGAGAAAAAAAAACCCAGGAAAATTTTGAAAGTATATATTGAGTTGGAATAATCACCTCAAGTGGCGTGCCTTTATTGTTAGGTGGAAGAATGGAGCCTATACCCTTCCCTCTTGGGTACCTAAAGCAACTAGGCCTGTCATCTATGGCTGCAGCTGTGGCTATCATGTGCATCAGTTCAGTCTCATCTGAAGGAGCCATAACCACCATGTTTGGCAAACAAGCCATGAACGTTGTGTCAAAGGCTCCGCAGTGAGTTGGACCATCAGCACCAACTAGGCCAGCTCTGTCTAACGCAAATCTTACTGGAAGCTTTTGAATGTCTACATCATGTGCTACCTATATATACCACAATCAACACAACAAAGCCAAAGTTAATAACGGGTAGTGTTTGTTGAGATAGATAAAACTATTAATGTAGCCTCACCCAACAGCTTAAGCTTTTGGGTTGAATTGGTTCTTTACATGGTATCAGAGTCTCGGTGTACCGGGTTCGAACCTCACCGCCCCCCACTTTCTTTCAAGTGGAATTTCTTTGTTCGCACAGGTAGGTGGGCCTGTGCATTGTCCACCCTTCAAGCTCAATGGGCTCTCGTGTGAGGGGGCGTGTTGAGATAGATAAAACCATTAATGTAGCCTCACCCAACAGCTTAAGCTTTTGGGTTGAATTGGTTTTTTACCGTGTTAATGCAACCAATTCAAAAGCTTTTAGATTGAATTCACTCATTATCATGCTATTATTGCAACTAGTGATCAAATGGTCACGAATTCAGTTATTACCCATGGTTTAAATTTTTAGGCGAGATAGTTGTTTATTATAATTTTCAGCATGAAAAATGCTAGTTTGGATTAATTAATAATCCAAAGTTTAATAATTTCTGACCTGATCATAACCTCTTTGTAGAAAGGAAGAGTAAATTGCGCAGAAGGGTTTAAGGCCTTCAGCAGCTAGGCCTGCAGCGAAGGTCACAGCATGTTGTTCTGCTATCCCAACATCGAAACATCTATCCGGGAAGCGCTTTTGGAACAAGTTAAGACCAGTACCACCTCCCATTGCTGCATGGATGGCAACGATTCTCTCATCAGCTTCTGCCTCTGCACTCAAAGACTGTGCAAAGTATTCTGTGTAAGAACGCGTACTTGTTTTGGACTTCATCTGCTTCCCTGACTTAGTATCAAATTTCACAACACCTACACAAAACAGAACCCATGAAGCCAATTGCATTATATTTAATGGACAAAATTAAGTACAACTTCGGATTTGAAAAATGTAAAAAATAAAAAGGCTTGTAAATGTAGTTAGTTACCGTGCATCTTGTCAGGCGCAACTTCAGCTGGACGATAGCCTTTTCCTTTCTCAGTGATAACATGAATGAGAACAGGTCCCAGTGTTGGCATGGCCTTTACATTTTTCAGGATCTGCACAAGGTCTTCCACATCATGGCCATCTACCGGGCCAATATAAAAGAGCCCAAGCTCTTCAAAAAAACAAGCACCAGAACCACCTAGCATCCCTCTCATGTAGGAATCCAATTTAGATGCAAATTCATGTGCTTGGCTTCCAATTTGCTTCGTTATGCCCTGTTCATTGGTCACCAAAGTTTAGTTCTAGTATAATTACATCTACTCACTTTTTAGAAATTTATCTAACATGAATAATTTGATTATAAAATTACTTTTGATCAAAACCAAATTTGTAAAATTAAATTATAGTGGCTTATGGTCTATATATGCATCAGTGAAGCGAATTGGGCTTGGGCCAAGAAGTTTATATCCATGATGAAACCAAGAAAGGCTTATAAATGGAGTTCAAGGTTCAAAATTGAACTGTTACCTTTGCGGCTTCACGTAGTTGATGGAACTTAGAATTAGTTTGCAGTCTTGCCAGGGCTCTACTAAGAGCTCCAACCGGTGGAACTGGGCCATCAACGGTTGCAGTGGGAAGAGAAACTTGTTCATTGTCATTTAAGATGATAATAAGATTGGTATCAATAAAACCAGCGTTGTTCATTGCCTCGTATGCTTGTCCAGCCGTCATGGCTCCGTCACCAATTACTGAAATGACATGGTTGTCCTTTCCAATCAAGTCTCTTGCAACTGCCATCCCTGAAAGTGACATGAAAGTTGATTAAAAAAAGTGTATTAATTTGAATCAATGATGACATTAATGATTAGAAAAAAGAAAAACTATATATATATATATATATATATATATATATATATATGTATAGTGTACCTAAGGCAGCTGAAATGCTAGTGGAACTATGACCAACTCCAAAGGCATCATGAACACTCTCATCCCTCTTTGGAAATCCTGCAAGCCCACCGGTCTGTCTAATTGTGTGCATTTTGGACCTTCTTCCAGTTAAAATCTTATGAGCATAGGTCTGTGTCAACATCCACCAGAAAATTAAGGTTAGACACATAAAAAAGATTAAGGTTTATGGTAAAAATACTAAAGGAAAATAATTTGGTAATTATAACCTGATGACCAACATCCCAAATGATCTTGTCTTGAGGTGTGTTGAATACATGGTGAAGTGCCACAGTCAACTCAGCCACACCTAGGCTTGAACTCAAATGCCCGCCAGTCTTTGACACTGTATAAACAATCTCTTCACGGAGTTCATCTGCTAGCGCCTCAAGTTCCTGATTATAATATTAAAATCAAAGTATTCAATTACAAATCCCAATAGAAAAAAAAAAACATGAATAAAATCTATAAGAGCAAAAACAAAACACAAGTTAGTTACTGCTCCTTTTAATAATGCTAGTCCTACCTGAATGGATAGGTTCTTCATGTGGATTGGGTAATTTATGGTGTCCAAAACTGGGGTGGATGGTTTCTCTCCTGAGAAATTGAGAGATCTCCGCAACTGTTGGTTTGTTTCGTAGCTTTTCTTCACCATTGTGCCCTCCTCCTCACCAGCATTGTCTCCTGCAGCAGCTATCACTAGGTTTATCTGAAAAATGAGAATCAAATAACAATAAATGTTACCATCCTTGACTCTACTATAGTTAATTATTTTATTTTATTTTGTTGATTCCAGAATATATCATACCCTCTGTGGGATTGTAGCTGAGACTTTGGTGGTGATGTTTGAGATACTTGGGAAGCAGCAATACTTATACTGAGAATGAAACAGAGGAAGGAAACTAGTTCCAACGAAGGAAGCCATATTAAGCTGGTTTGGAATAAATCTTGTGTTGTTATCTGCTGAGGAGAGAAAAACTACCCACAGATTACACTCTTTGGGTTTGATTGGTGGTGTGAAGGTGCTGATCTGCAGGAGTGCTGTTTGGCAATTTATATAGATAGGTAAGTTGTTCAATAATTAACAGATGAAAGTTGCGCATTTATCACGTGCTGACGTGCACATTTTTCTTGAATGAAAATTGTCGGGCGCGGTTTATAATATAAACTCAAGTTAGATGATACAAGAAACCGGTCATGATTCCGAATGGAATTAAAAATTTATATAAGGCAGATTTATACTTTTCATCCCTTAGTTTAATGTCGAACTTTATCTTTGCCTCACTATTACTATTTGTTTCATTTCTATCTTAAATTCTTTTATAAAACCCACTAAATTTATCTTAAACGACTAACTCCTTTAAAAATAATAACTAATTTTTTTTTTAATATACCACCTTACTTGACTGTAATGCACAAGCCACAAATGGTATCATAATCTCTCCAATTAAGATTTCTTGAAGTTTATAATTAAGACAAATTTGGTAGCTATAAAACAGATTTAACTCTAAACCCAAACGTAAACTAACACTCTCTCTTGAAAAATACAACTTGACAGGTGTTGTACGTGCTAATGTGTTTGTAAATATTACATAGATAAATTCAAATTTAATTTATTTTTAATATTAACTTTTATACTATTATCTAATTATATATTTTAATATCATTTAAAATATGGAGAATGATTTGTTTACAATTTTTTTATATAAATTACACTAAGTATGACCAGTCATACATTCTTTATTGAAGTATGACAAATCATACTTAGTGTAATTTTTAAGAGTTTCTAAACAAAAAAAATTATAAATATAATATTTTCTTTAAAATATTAGTTATTCTTGCATTTATTTTAAAATATTAGTTATTCTTGCATTTATTTTAAAAAATTAAGCTGTTTTTTTTTTTTTTGGTACATTGCCAGGAGGAGGTATCCCCATTCAACCTTCTCCGGGCACCATGCCTTCGGGGTACGGCCCGTTTGGGCTAGCCCCTCATTGTAACAGTGGGTGTACTAAGCTTCGCAACCGGAGGAAGGACGAGACTAATCCCCCAACCGAAGATTTTTTGACTTATCTCTGGCCTCCAAAGACTTTTCAAGAAACTGCTTGAGGCAGGGTTTGATCTCTACACCAAGCAATCCCTTAGGAGCTCAGCTGCCAACTAAGCTACCTTAGGGGTTAAATTAAGCTGTTTTAACTGACATGCATTTGTACGTTTGTATACGCATAAATTCTTCACGCGTGATTAGACATTGAATTATATGATCAGCTTTCACCAAACATGCATTTGTACCTTGTACGGTTGTATGCTTCGAAATAAACCACCCACACAAAGGCCCAATAATGCTTGGAATTATTGGAGAATTGGTTTTCAATGAAATTTAACTACCATGCTCACACATACTATAATGCATAAGCTAACATTTTAGGGGTTAAGTATGGAGATAAGTTATATTTTTTTAATTTTTTATATTATATATTACGGGTAGTACATATTTATAATTGAAAAAAAAAATTCTTTCTTCGCAACAGCTAAAGTGATTGAAGAGAGAGAGAAAAAAAAATAAATTTTCACATTATAACTATGTACTATCTGTGATACATAATATTAAAAATTAAAATGATACAATTTATATTTTTTAAAATGACAAATTTTTTTCTCATGTTTTATTTATTGTATGATTTTATTGAAATTTGGTCAAATTTTTTTTTTCAGTAAATGGTCAGATTTTTTTTTATTAATATCAACATTGCTCTAACCATTACGTGGCTCACTTTTATTATAGGATAAGATATCCACATCACAATACCTCTCTCTTCCTACAATAATCAATAATGTATAAAAGAGAGACTAGCTAGATTCAACACAGCGAGCCAATTCATCTATCTCTAATTCAACAAATATTAATTTTATCCCAAACTAATTAAATTTAATAGTCAAGGAACCCAAATAAGGGCAATAAGAGATTGAGAGAAAATAAACAATAAGTAGGGAAAATAACACACATATATATATATATATATGGATAATAAATAAATAAAAACATAGAAAGAATCTATCATTCCATAATACTAATAATTTTCCTCTACACCATCCTTAAACAAGTCATATGTTAATTTATTTTTTAATTCTTTAAGTCTTGTTTTATTACTTTTCCTAAAGTGAGTTTCAACCAATCTCTGATTCCTTTCATTATTTCATGCTCTCGGTAATAAGTATTTTTTTTTCTTACTAAAGCATTGGGGATGTTTGGTAGATGATATATTTTTTTACTAGGTAAATATATTTACTAGGAATATAGTGGAAAAATGAGTTTGATAGGAAAGTTAAAAAAAAGTTGTTTGGTTGGCTAAAATTTTACCAGAAAAATTAAGTTAAATTTTGTGAGTTTGTATTTGGTTGAAGTTAAAATATTGATGGGAAAAAAAAGGATGAAATGACAAAAATAACCTTATAATTAATTTTTGAATGTTCAGAACGCTTCTGAGCACAAACTCGTGAGTGAATTTCAGAGCAATATTATGTTGGCTTCTGAGCACTAACAGTAGCCCTTCTTTATCAATTCATCTCAAGAAGTTGAAGGCATAAAAGTCTGGATTTAATGCCCAACAATCCTCAGCAATCAAACAGGCGATGAATGATAAATTATCAAGGTTGGAGAGAGCGCCGAAGAGAAAAATTACCCTCTGCTTCTCGAGGTTCTTCTCACGAGGCATCTTTGCCTTTTGCCCATTGCCTCCTCCCATGTCTGATATCGTGCACTGAACATTTCACCTTGTGCAACCCACACATTGAAAAACCAAATTTTGCACAGATGTAAATCTTGATTTCTTCGTCGATGGTTTGTGCAAGGGCAATATTGTCACGTTGCTTCTCTCACTTTCTCCATTTACCCAGTTTTATTGAAATACCATGTTGCAAGTGGTAAACTTGCAAGTGTTCCTCTTCACTTTTTTCACACCATTCACGAAGTCTAGGCAACAGCATTTGATGGAAAAAAATTTAAATTACTTGTACCAAACGAAGGCAACAATGAAACCCAATGAAGGATGACGGGGTATCTTTTAAGAAGACTTGAACCAAACATTACCTTAGAGATTTTTGAAGAATATTCCCAAACCATTTTAATATATGTTCTTTTATATTTTCTCCAACCGGTACTACACCAACTTTTTGTCAATATATTCATTTTTTTTGCTTCTATTACTTTTGTGCTAGTCAATATATAACATTATAAGTCTTATTATTGTTGTATAAAAGTTCTCTTTTAGCCTCAGAAAGATTTTGTGATTAGTTAAAAAACTCGATACATTATATCATTTCATCCAACTTGCTTTAAATTAATGCTTACATCTTCATCAATATCTCCCCTTTTGTAAGAATGATCCCAAATATCTAAATGCCTTCTTTTTTGGTGCCTCCGGTCCTGGTAAAAATATATCCACATCTTCTTTATCTCTTCTGTCTTGTCGTGGCAAACTCACACTACATGTAAATTCTTTAGATTCCAACATGAATCACTATAAGCACAAAATCATTTATAAATAACATACATCATCTTAATTAGATATCTTTTGTTAGCATATCCATTATTGTCAAAAAGTAGTCTAAAAATTTAAAAACGTAGAAACGGTAGAAACGCAGTACAAAAACGTGTTAAAACATAAGTAGAAATGGTCCTTAGTAGAAACGGATAAAAACGCCGTGTAGAAAAGTAAAAATGGTAGAAACGCAAGTTTTTACGTTTTTTTTACCATTTTTACTTAAACTCAATTTTATTATTTTTTTTAATTTTGTTAAACTTATATTTTATTTTTTCAAAAAAACCTATTTTCCATTTTTTTAAATTCAATTTTCTCTTTTAATATTTTTGGACTTATTTCTCATATAGTCATGCGACTTGTATCTTTTAAATATGAAGTTATTTATTAAATTTTGAGTAGTGACTTATGTGATTTTTTTTTCTTGTTCTTCATCTACCAGCATTCGAACCAGGGACATTGTAGCGTTGGCTTCCAACAACAACCATATCAACCACGAATGCTGGTAATTTTTTTTTACATGCATATATATATATGAAAAAATATTTCTACAATTATTTTAGATAACATTATCTATAATTATCTTTTTTTAACTAAGTCTGACCAGTAAGACATAGTTATAACAATAAAGCTGTTCTTTTTTTTTCTCTCCTCAGATATTGTCTGCTGTTGTGGCGAAGAGAGAAAATATAATTTTTATGTCTTACTGGTCAGACTTAGTTAAAAAGGAGTAGCTGTAGACAACCTTATCTAAAGTGACTGTAGAAATATTTAACTTATATATATATATATACATATACATATATATATATATATATATATATATGTATATACATATCTATATAATTTTGTATCTTGACTTTAAATAGTAAAAACTTTACGTTTCGTCTCGTTTCTACGATTTACGTTTCTACCACCCCCTTCCATTTTTACGTAGAAACTCAATTTTGACTACATTGAGCACATCCATAACTAGGGGAAAAAATTAAGACTCAAAACAAAACCTTAATGTAAACTTTTGTGATTGAGAAATAACTTAAATGCGTTAGATTAGAATAAAATTTACCACACTTACAACCAATTTAATCACCGTTAGATTAGAATAAAATTTAATGGTGATTAGTTATCCCTTATAATCTTAATATTTTCTCTCACATCCCTCTCTGTCTGCCTCTCTCTCTAGCTTTCCATCCCCTCACTGTCTGCATCTTTCTCTCTCTAGATTTGGAAGGTTCAATGGCAATCTTTTATTCAACAATTTAGAGATCGACCTCAGGAAAACATATATGAGAGCCTCACCACTTTTAGGCAAGGAAGGATAATAGATGAGTATATATATATAAAAAAACTATAAACCATTTGTGGTAAAGGCTTCCAACACCCT